CCAGTCCCTCTGGGTCATAAATGTGTTAATTGCCCCAAGAGGGTGGGCCCACCATTATCTCCCACTTACCTCAAATTGGGCTCCCTCTCACTTTTATCAAAATGAGTCACCAGTCCCTTAGAAAAAGGCAAGTACTCCAGGGCTTAGGGCTGGCATGTGACTCAAGTGATATGCAAATATCCAGAAAAAAGGCCTAAGGCCACTGGATCCCAGTTCCTGTCCATAGAAGCACTCTTAACTTGTGCAATTAAGATAAAACAACAAAAGGCGGGCCCTTTTATATTCCACTAAGTCTAGAATAGTAGACCAAATGACGTCCCCCCCCCAAAAAAAAATGAGCTTTTGCAGTGAGGGGATACATTTAGCAGTATTCTGTACACTGATGGAAGGCATCCAGGATTAGGTATTTGTGTGTTTTTCTATGGGATTCTAGGGTGTAGCAGGGAGAGGCAAGGTATTCCCACGAGTCTCACGGAACGCTGGTCCGGAATCCCAGAGTGAGTCTCTGCTCCCAGGACACCCAGACTTCAGCTTAGGAGAATGCCAGGTCTCCTGTTGGACCTGCAGGCCAGAGCCTTCATCTCCACCCTGAAGCCAGACCCTGAGCTACCCATCACGCACCTTGGATGGTTCTTTTGAAGAAGGCCTTGCAGGCCTCACAGGAGGCCACGCCATAGTGATAGCCAGAGGCAATGTCCCCGCAAACGAGGCACAGCCGCTTGGGGATGGCGTTGAGCATGTACTCGCACTTGATGGCCGAGTCCTCCAGGATACCACTGGCACAGTCCTCATAGCTCTTGCGGCATGGCGTGCCTCCTAGCCCCGCACCTGTGAACATGGGTGGCGAGTCCAGACCGTTGGCGTGAGTGCCCAGGGCCATGCCAAAGCCGCCGCTGGCGTCCGAAGAGCCGCTGGGGCTGTGGTGGCTGAGGGCATCAATGCCCGAGGAAGGGCTGGATGGCTCCGTCTTGATAAAAGAGCCGCAGCTGGAGCCTAGATGCCGATCCTCTGAGGACATTCGGTTCAGCAGCCTGTGGACAGAGAACACGCGAGTCAGTCCCAGCAAGGTGGGGGCGCCCCGCCTAGTGGGAGGGGCGCATGGGCGGGTCTCCAATTCAGGCCTTGGTGAGATGCTGTGGTGGCCCAGGCAAGCTGCATCAGCCTAAAGTGGTTTCTGCAGTTTTGGAGTCCTGAGAAACTTTTGATTTGTAAACTTCAAATCAGGCACCCTGTGCTTTGCAAGTTGCTGACCTGAAGGTGACAAGATGTTAACTATTCTATCTAAATATTTGGTCAAACTTCCTACCTAACAATACATAGCAGGTGACCATGTAGCCGGCCCTAGTGCAAAGCCTGACATCAGTAAAAGGGCCTTATAACCCATTCCACAGTATCCTTCCACCCCAAGGCCCAGTCCAAGTTGGGCCCTTCTCTCCCAGTACCTTGCCCTCACCAAGACTGAGACCCTGGATGGGCTGTCAAGTCCTCTAACCAGGACAAAGAAGAGAGCTTGCCCCTAAGACAGCAGCCACGTTGGCTGTTGGGTTTTACCTGTGGTCCAGGCTTGGTAAAGGAGGATCTATCTAAATGGTGATTCCCTGACCCTCTCTCATTTCCCTTTTTAGCCCTTGGACAACTTGGTTTCCACTCAGTCTCCCCAACCCCAGAGAGATGTCTCCATTAGAGCACAGGAAGGGAATCAACCAAAGCCAACCCTATGCCTGTGCACCAGCTCTCTCCTCTGCCTCCTTCTTTTTGTTCTGTTTTGTTTTGTTTGTTTTTGTTTTTATTTTTAGGGTCTCACTCTGTGGCACTAGCTGGCCTGGAATTATGTAGACCTGGCTGGTCTCCAACTCACAGAGATCTTCCTGCCTCTGCCTCCCAAGTGCTGGGATTAAAGGCCTGTGCTACCACACCCAGCTCCCTCCCTCTCTTTTTGAGATGAAGTCTTCAAAAGTAGCCTGGCTGGTCTGGAACTCTCTAGGTAAGCCAGGTTGGCCTCAAACTTGCTATCCTCCTGCCTCAACCAACCAAGTACTGAGATTATAGACATACCTGCACCAAGGGCCTCACATAAGCTAGGTAAGCACTTTACTGATCACCTCTACACACATAGCACCTTAACCTGGAGATTCTTTTTTGGGGGGGGGTCTTTTTGAGACAGGGTCTCCCTGTAACCCCAGCTAACCTGGAGCTTGTTATGTAGACCAGATTGGCCTTTTACTCACAAGAGTTCTGCCTGCTTCTATCTCCAGAGTGTTGGGATTAAAAGCATATACCACCACGCTTGACCAATCTGGAGATTCTGAACCTGGAACCTCCATGCCTCACCAAGAAAACTGCAGAGCCTTTACCAATAGAGTTGATACTTCAGGATCTAGAACACTGCCCAGAAAATACCGTATTTCCGGTAACTGGAAGCACCTCCTCTCTAACTGTGCTGTGTATCCAGAAAAGGCTCTAAAAGCCTGCAAAGGTATGGCCATCCCACATCCCAGATTGCAGGGTAAGTGGGGGTCCATGTGCCTTTCAGCATGGAAAAGATCAACTGCCAAGCTCACATGAAACAGCCTGGACAGGTATGTTGGGCGAAACCAGCTGCCTACCACACTCCAACCAGTTGACTCAGGCCAACTGAGTCAGAAGGCCTGGATAGAGTGTGTCAGAATCTATCCAGAGCCATGATATCGAAAGTGCCCCACTCTCAGATCTACCTTTCCTTAGGTACCAGGAGCAGGTGAAAGAGTGAAAGATCCTGGAACATGGCACAAATAAAAAGATGACCCCTGGGTGGAAGGGATGGCATCAGTGCTGGAGGGTGCACAGGGGAGCTGCCGAGGTCCTGCCTCCAGTGTCACTCCGAGGTGATTTGCCCCTCTTTTCTGAAAAGCCACAAAAAGATCACAATGCCCACCTACATGGCAGCCCTTAGCCACACACCAAGACCACAAAGGTGTCTGTGTGGCCTGTTGAAAGGGCTTTGGTGGTTATTAGTTCCACTGATGAGTTCATGGTCAGCAGCTCCCAGAGGTTGTCTGCCATCTGCACTTGAACATGTCTAGAGTTAGGGAGCTGAAGGTACTGGAATGAGCGACCCACCAAAGGGGCTGGAGAGGTGACTCGGCACCTCTCAGCAGTAAAGAGCACTGGCTGCTCTTACAGAGGGCCTGGGTTCAGCTCCCAGCAACTCACAACCATCTGTAACTCCAGTTCCAAGGGGATCCAATGCCCTCCTCTGGCCTCCACAGGCACCTGCATACATGAAATTGGTACATATACATATAAACAGTCAAACCCTCATAAACATAAAATAATCTTTAAAAAAAAAAAAACAAAAACAGAAGACTTGACCAAAGGCTCCTGCTCTCCCCAGCTTACAACCCCTGGAATGTAGCTCATGAAGACTGGGTTCCAGGTCCCTCCTGTTCCAAATGGAGCATCCCTTTGACCTCTGAGAGCCTCTCCTACAGACCCCCATTCTTGCATGGACAGAGGGTCCCCTATTTAAGGGTCTCCTCCAGGTCCTTATACGTCTCTGGCTGATGCCGTGTCATCTTGCCTGGGCACTGTCATCCGCCATCCCTCTATGTACCAGGGGGGTATCTGAGGAAATGGCAGGACACCATCTGGAGGAGAATCTGACTGAGTACTTGGCAGCATGCTACTGAGCTCCTCCCCACAAGCCCTTCCACACAGGGACAGGGAGGACAGCAGACTCTGTGCTCTTGAACTTTTAATCCTCTCCAGCTCTCTGATGGCTACTTTAAGCTTTGTTCTTCTCTGAAGTATCCTGTGCCCACTGTGAAGCCCTGATGGGCCAGAGCTCCCAATTCCCCTGCTTCCACCCAGCCTTCCCCAGGCTCTGAGAGTACCAAAGATTTCACAAGACACACTTGACACAGCAGTCCTGACAGCAGCTTCTGTTTAGTGAACATGTACTGGATACCTCTAGCTTTTACTTGGTGCCTAGAGGCACAAGAAACATTTACCCTGAGGGAAGCAGAGGGAGCCTGTACCCTCTCCTGGGATAGTGTGGGCCAGTTTTCCCAGCCTTGCAGCTTAGCCTATCCTGAAGGACTGACTCCCAGAAGGGTTGTGCTCCCAAGTCTTGGTTCTTCTCCAACCCTGTCTTCATTCAGAAGGGCCAAGGCATCTTGCAGTGTTTGGGACTCCCAAGGGCTGAGAAAATGGATCCTAACCTCAGTCCGTTGACATGACAGAGCTAGTGATACAGTGAACCCAAGCACAGGGACATTTAGTTTAAGGATGTTATTTCTTTATCTCCTCCCCCCAACTTATCCCCCCCCCTCTCCCTGTCTTTGCCTCCCTCCCTGTCTTTCTCCCTCTCTTCTTTCTTCCTTTCCCACCACAGGCTCTTGCCCAGGCTGGCCTCTAACTTACCATCCTCCTGCCTCAGTCTCCCAATTGCTAGGAGTACAAGGCATTCACCACCACATCTGACTCAGCTTTTATTTCTGTAGTCATTATTTAGTTCCCACCAGAATGCCTTTCCCACAGACTGTCAGCATGTAGTTGGGTCCCTACTTTATGCCAGGTGTTGGCAAGATAATGGGAAGACAAGCACAGTCCCTAGTCTCATGGTCAGATCCTACCTTGAAAGCCCGTCCAGGTCCTGCTGCCCTGTGATACAGGGCAGTGATAGAGCAGAAAGGACCCACGTGAGGGACATCCCTGTTGTGCCCCTCTAGTCTCCCTTCATTCCATTTTGCAGATGGTATAAAGACTGTTTTTTTTTTTTTTTTTTTTTTTTTTTTTCCCCCCCCTCAAACCTGGGGGGCCCCCCGCCCCACCCACAAAACAAACAGGGCCAAGCGCCCCCTTGTTTTTCCTTTTTTTTTTTTTTTTTTTTTTTTTTTTTTTTTTTTTTTTGCTCCTCTGCTCCAAGACTGGGTGACCCTAGCTGCCATCCAACAACCATCAAGGACTAGCTGCACTCTGTATCTTCCTTTGTTTTTGTTTTTGTTGTTTTTTGTTTTTTGGTTCTTTTGGTGTTTTGACTTAGGGTTTAGGGAGGCTCACTAGGTAGCCCAGGCTGGCTTGGTACTCACTCCATAGTCCAGACTGACTGAACTCAGCAATCCTCCTGCCTTGCTTGACCTTTGAGTGCTGAGATTATAGAACTGAGCCATCACACTGGGCTCTGGATCTTCTTTTGTACAATCATCATAACCTGTCTGCTAGAGACTATTTCCCCTGCTTTACAGAATAGATGAGCTGGCACTCTGAGCTTACTTAGTTTACCTGAGCAAAGGGGAGAGGCTGGGGTCCAGCCAGCATGGTCTGTACATTGACTCCTGTGTAAACTCTCTTGCTCCCTGACCCCAGGACTTTTCAGAAAACCTCATCTTTTAGTCCTCCAAAATGCAGACAATGTCTGTCCCCATCAGACCCAAAGTCCTTCTTGTCATCTGTTGACCCCTAGAGTGTTAAGAGTGAGGAACTCAGCCAGGGCTACACAGTGAGCAAGACCCTGTCTCAAAACAAGATGAACAGAAAGAATAGAGAACTCTGCAGAGCCATGGTCTATTCTGGGTGGCCAGGCTTCATGCACCAGATAGGGAAAAGAAAGTTTGCCAGTCCATGCCCTCTGCCTGTCCTTGACTTCTAGGACATTGTTAGCAGAATATAAAGGAGGACAGAGAGAAAGCCATTCAAGAGGACAGAACCACAGGTTGTGCTGTATGCCTATAATCTTAGCACGTGAGAGGAGGAGGAAGATTGAGGCAAGTTTAAGGCCAGCTTTGATTATATAGTGAGACCCCAAATTAGGAAGAGGAGAAGAAGAAGGGGGGAGGAGGGAGGAAGGAAGAGAGGAAGGGAGGGAGGGAGGGAGGGAGGGAAGAAGGGAGGGAGGAAGAAATGGAGGGAGGGAGGGAGGAAGGAAGGAAAGGAAGGAAGGAAGGAAGGAAGGAAGGAAGGAAGGAAGGAAGGAAGGAAGGAGGCTTGGGAATATAGCTCAGTCAGTAAATAGCTTGCTATGCAAGCATGAGGATCTCAGTTCAGA